CCTTGGAGATAATTGGATTACTTCCCAGTTATCTCCAGGATAGAAGACTCTGTGGAACTGGTTTTGGCCAGAAAAGCCATGCTTCATTTGGTCACAAAGGACTTTGATCTATCTTTTGAACCAATGGACCAATGTGGATGATTTTGACATATGTTCGTATTTGGAGTATGCTGATTGATTTTATGTGAATGTGATGCATACTTTTAAAGTTATGAATAATGTGGAAAAACTGTATTTCTCTGCCGGTGATAATTACATTACCCATTGTGTAAGGTAATTGTATCACAGGCAGAGGGGAGGATTTTGTGTGGGAGTGTCTGAGTGTATTGTACGTGTTTATTGGTTGTTTTCCAAAACCCTGTGGGTGGTACTAATGTAATTATCACAGACAGAGAAATACAGTTTTTCCCCATTATTCATAACTTTAAAAGTTTAAGAACAATAAACCCACAGCTCTGTCTGTTCCTGCTTGACCCTTAAAACGGAGCCTTGTCTCGTTCTTGGGGGGATTTACTGTATGCTGTTCCAGTTCGACTGCTAGGAGTGTAAACCTATTTGTATGGTTTTTCCTATTCGGCTGTTTATGGAATTCATATGGTTTCCTGTTTGGCAGATTGGTGTCTACAGTAGCTGCCTGTGTCTCTGGAAGGGGAAGATCTACTAAACGGCTGTTAACTCCTTTTATGCCTGGGGGTGCCGTTACAATGTATAATCACCATTTGTTCAATCTTTGGCATTCTGGGCCATCTTAAGTTTAATAGGAATACTTTTGGTTTAAAATTCATTTTCTTTCCAGTTGTTTGGTCAATAAGCTTCAGTACTTTCTTCCAGAATTGTTTTATCAGAGGACAGTTCCACAAGTGTGGATTAGATTGCTTTCGTTAGCTTTATATTTCCAACATCTATTGGATGTCTCCGGAAAAATTCTGTTTAGACGTTTAGGTGTCATATACAATCTATTGGTTAGCTTAAATTGTGTTTCTGTAAGTGCTAAACAGTGTATGTATTTATAAACTTTATTTAGCAAGCTTTTCCAGTCCTCTTCTTCTATAGAAACTTGTAGTTCTTCTTCCCATTTTTTGATCAGGCCCATTGGTTTGTCGTGCCTCCATCCATATATAACTTTAACACATTTTGTCATAACATTTTTATGATTGTTTAAGTCCAAAAGATGTCTAAGTTTTAAGTTTTCCTCCTCCTTGTGTTTAACTAGGTATTTGGAGATAAAACCCTTAATTCTCAAGTAGTTGAATTTTTCATTTTCAGGGATTTTGAATTCCTCTAGCATTTGCCTAAAGGGTTTTATTTTTTTCTCCACTATCTTAATTTCCTTGATCCTCCTGGTTTCCCAGTTAGCCATTTTTATATTTTCCAGCATGTCTGGAAACACTGAAGTTGGGAGCTCCTCTATAATTTTGTTTCTCATGTTAGATGTGATTTTGTCCAACCAATTTGGTAGGTCTGCGAGTATCTGTGATTTACTCTGTGCATCTTTGATTGCTTTTTTTATTCAGGTCTAAAATCCAGAATAGTGATGGCAAATTGCTTATCCCTGTTTTTATCTTTTCCATATTGTACCAGATTTCTTTGGTGGTCAATTTATTTTGGATGAGCACAATGTGGAACAGTCTGCTTGCCGTGTAGCTTTGCATTATCTCTGGGCACCCCAGACCTCCATCTTGTTTTAACCTACATTTTTCGTTTTTTCCCTGGCTTTTTTTACTCCCCACACAAATTTGCAAAACAATGAGTGTAATAGTGCCAACCAATTTTCTGGAAAATTCAACGGTATCATTCTCCATATATAACCATTTTGGTAGGATGTATGTTTTTAAGATATTAATTCTGCCAGACCAGGAGAATCCCAATCCTTTCCAGTCCTTTAGTTTTTTATTTGTTTGTGTTAGTAATGGTAGTAAATGCGCTTCAATTTAATCTCTTAAATTTGGCGTTTTCATTACGCCCAGATAACATAGTTTGTCTTTATTCTCTGGGAGGCCAAGGTTTTGTGCAAGAAAATTCATTACTCTTCTTTCAACATTTTTAGCCATATAATTTGATTTCTCTAAATTCATCTTATAGCCTGAAACTTTGGAGTATATTGTTATTTCCTCCAATAACTCTGGAACCGAAGTTTCTGGATCTTCTAATGTAAGTAAGATATCATCTGCATATATATTGAGCTTTGATTGTCCAGCCTTGTTAGTAAATCCCTTTATTCTCTTGTTTTGTCTGACTGCGATTGCCAGAGGTTTTAAAACCATTATATACAATAGTTGAGACGGCAAACATCATTGTCTTGTCCAATTTCTTATGTTGAAATTTTGTGAAGTAAATCCCGACCCTATGACTTTTGCTGATGGCTCCGTATAGAGGGCTGAGATTGCTTGTAACATAGCACTGGTGATTCCAAATTGTTTTAAAGTTGCCAAAATAAAATTCCACCCACCCAATCAAACGCTTTAACTATCGTCTATCGATAGTTAAATTTATGGCGTTTTATTTTTTTCTGTTTCTTCTAGCATGTTAATTATTTTTCTAAGATTATTAATAGGAGACCTCTCAGGTATAAACCCTACTTGGCCATAGTTGATTAGTTGTGGAATACCTCTTTTAAGCCTTTCTGCCAAAATGGAGGAAAAGATTTTGATATCTGTGTTAATTAGAGAAATCGGTCTGTAGTTACTGATCAGCTCCACGTCTTTGTCTGATTTTGGGATAGGAACTATGTTTGCTCTTAGCAACTCTCCTAGACATCGTCCTGTTTTCATTATATAGTTGTATGTATTAACCAATTCTCCTTTAAGTTGGTCTTTCATTATTTTATAGAATTTGTTAGTGAAGCCATCTGGGCCTGGCGCGGTTTTTAATTTAAGCTTCTCTATCGCTCTGCTGACCTCCATTTCTGTTATTGGTTGATTTATACTTTCTTGTTGATCTGATAGTATTGTTGGCATAGTTATCCTTTGGAAAAATGTCTCTATGTCTTCTTTACCATATATTTCTCCTGGTAAATTGTACAGGTCCTGATAGAATTTACCAAATGCTTTTCTTATCCCTTCTGGGGTCAACAAATACCTGTCTTTATCTTTTATTTTTTAGATTGTCCTTTTATATTTCCTTTTTCAATTTCTTGGTCATTAATGCTTTGTTGCCCTTAAAGTACCATCTTGCTTGTAGGAATTCTAGCTGTTTAGCAGCCTTTTCCATTAACTGCACATTTATCTGTTGTTCTAATTCTGCAATTTTCCTAGCTATTTGTATGGAAGGCGCCACTTTATTCAGTTTTTTTTGATCGCTTAATGTTATGTATAAATTTGCTAAACACGGTAATCCTTTCTTTTTTTCGGTGGCCACCATTTTTATTATCTGACCTCTAATTACACTTTTGAAAGCACACTAGACTATAATGTCTGGTGTACCTTTGTTTTTGAATTCAAAAAAAGTTTAGTTGTTCTTTTAATCTCATGTTTTATATCTAATACTACATTTTTTTCAAACAAGAAAGCAACCCCTCTTTTTTTTTTTTTTCATAGAGGCGCTAATGATTTGGGGGTATCTTGCTGAACTTATTGTCTTTTTATTGTATTTCGTCCAATGTGTTTCTTGTAAGGCACAGATTTGTATCCTATTTTTTGTTAAATATTCCAAAATTATCAATCTTTTGCCAGGTGAATTGATCCCATGGGCATTTATTGATGCTAACTTAATTGAAATGTATCTGTCTGTTCTTGGGGTTCTCTCACTCCATCTTTTTTTATGAGGCAAAATTCATAGGAATAATTTAGATTTGCTTCACGTGCTAAGTAGTTCCAGTGTTTAGGAATCCACTTATATATTAGGTTTTGCATGGCGCAAATCCCCCGCCATGCCGTGTCTCGAGTATCGTCTAGCATTACTCGAGTAAAGATCCCATTTGTCCTGTGGGAAAGGCATACCAAGGGTCTGTACTCTGGAGGGAGCCCCCCCCCCCTTTTTTTTTTTTAAGTGCAGTCTAACTTATTTACATTGCGTCTCTTTTGGCTTATTTGTTCCAGTTTTATTTTTATGTGAAGATTTATATTCTTGTGTACTTAGTTTTCCTTATGTGAATATGTGTCACCTCATTTGGAATTTTTTTCTTTTTTGATTTGTTTGTTCATTTCTAATTTTTTCACTTTTTTTAGTACTCTTATGGTCTGTCTTGTTATTACCGGTGATTTCATTTTCTCCCACTTTCATATTAACTTTATTTTGTATGTACTAACTTCTGTCTGTGTGTGTTGTTCTCCTTAGCTATTTGTTAACTCTTTTTGTGCTGTATATTTAAAATTGTACTAATTTTTCTTTACTTAGTATATTTCCTTTTGTCTTTTCTTTTCCCTTTCTTTCCTTCCTTCCTTCTCTCCTCCCTCCTTTCTCTTCCCCATCCTTTCCTTCTTCTTTAACTGTGTTCTTAAATTTCTATGAATTATCCCTTTCCCTGTTGTGTACTGTGACTAATTTTTATTCTTTATTTAGTATATTTGTTCCCCTTACTTCCCCTTTTAGCTCATTGAAGCCTCGCTAATTATAATTGGATACTTAGGGCACTTTCCTATATTATTTGTTGTTAACCAATTTTTTAGTTCTTCTGCATGATCGATTGATATAGTTTTATTTTTGTGTGTTATAATTATTTTTATTGGGAATCCCCAGCGATATTTAATGTTGTTTTTTCTTAGTATTATTCTACTATCGGCGAAGGTTTTCCTCTTCTGTCTATTTGACCAGGATAAGTCCTAAAATACTTTCAGGGTTTCATACTCTTGAGAGCATTTTTTTCCTCTTAGGGCACTCATTATTAAGTACACCGTAACATCACATCCCTTGGAAGGTGATCTGGGACTCCTCTTGGTTTATTAACTCTGTGGCATCTCTCGATAGCCAGAATTTTGAAGTCCCACTCCACATCCAAGTGTTTGAAAAAACCCTCTATGTATGACTCTAGGTTTTTAGTAATTATCTGTTCTGGTATTCCGCTAATTCTGGCTCCTTGCTCTGTCTTGAGCATCTATCAGCTTGTTCTCCATTTCTATAATTTTTCTTTTCATTGCAAGATATTCCTCTCTGAGGGTTCTTTCCCTGTGTTCCAGTGCGTCTATTTTTTCCTCTGTTCCATGAATCTGTTTATAGAGGATAGCTAACTCTTTCTTGATATCCTTGGTACTGTTTTGCATCTCCTCCCTAAGCCTATCAAATTGACTATCCAAGTGTTTAAGCAGGTGGTCGTATTCCTTCCTTCCCTCGCCTGTTTCCTGGCTATCCTCCAAGTGACCTTTGTTGATGTCTACCTCTGTGGTGTTATTTGTCTGGAGAGATTCTTCCAGGTTTGTTTTATTTCCTGGCTGTTGTGGCGAAAAAAAGGAGAGGCGTTTTTCTGGTTTGTTTTCAGGTTTTCTTTCTTTTCTTAATTGTTTGCCCTCCATTGTCTTTTTTGTGGCCATTTTGTTTATTTCCTCTGTATCTTCTTTTCTTTCCTTCTCCTCCCTTTCTTCCTCCTATTATATATGTATTTCTTTCTCCTCTCCTCTCTCCTCTCTCCTCTTATTCACTTAGGTTTCTTTAGTTTATAATACTTTCTTGTAATTTCTTTCCTTGCGTCCTCCCCTTTCACTCTCCTCTCTCCCTCCTCTCGCCTTAACTAGGATGCTGTGTATCATACCTCGCGGAAATAACACTTCCAATTCTAAGCAGGTGGCAAAACAGCATAGGAACAGTATATCTAATACTTTTTTCTTTTTCCTTTTTTTTTGGCAACTTTAGGCAGGAGGAGGAAAAAAAAAACCCCGGCCACAGACCTCGAAACAGAGAGGGAGAAGATTAAAAAGAATGACCACAGACACCCAGTGGTGTTGTCTTTTGAGCACCTTGCTCCTATTATAAAGAATCAGTCAGCCAATAATTTTTTATCCTCAGGACCCTATTTTATTAGGAGACTACCTTCCTTGTCACTAGATTTTCATACCCCTACTAGCCCTTGTAGTACAGTAGTATATACTATTTATACTTTTTATCCATTGGCTTCTAGCAGACTTTTGCAGTGAGCTTTTTGAGTTTTACTATTTTGGCCACATCTGCGGAGTACCACAGTGGTTTCTTGAATTTGTTGCTTTTACTGACAAGCCTAATGCAATTTTCTGTTGCCTTCAACAGTGCAACTTTTAAATAATTCCATTTCTCTTGGACTCCATTTAAATTGCTCCAGTCTGATAATGACTCCTTTACACATATTCTAATTTTAGGAAAGTCTGTTTTTTTCAAGTCTAAAACTTTTGTTTTTGTGTGGCGTGACTCAGTCACTGTTCTTATATTAAACCACACTGACTGATGATCACTGGATCCTAAACTTTTACCTACAGTAATATCTGACACCAAATCTCCATTTGTTAACACTAAATCTAGTATGGCCTTTTTACAAGTTTGCTCCTCAACGACTTGTTTTATAGACAATCCCAGTAGGGAAACGTAGAGAAAGGTAAAAGCGCACACTAAACAAGGAGGTCTTTACCTGACGTGTTATAAATAACTGGTAAGGGGTAACTCCTCCTTATATACAACATGTATATACAATGTAGATATTGCCTATACAAAAAATACAAACACAGAACAAAACATAGTGTGGTCTGTATATAAAACACAATAAGAAGGAAATTATGAGCTGAAATCACTCACACTTTGCTGAGCCGTTTAAAGTAGGCTCGGGACTTATGTAGCTTTATATGTCACTTTAAGTGGGACATGCACATTCCTTCACTCTTCAGGCGGATTCTTCAATGATCTCAATAATCATCTGATGAAAAGTTGGAGTCAGGAGCCAGGAGTATCAGGATATATAAAAAGTATTTATTTGTATAAAAACAAATAAAAAATAATGCACAACGCGTTTCAACCATCAAGTGGTCTTCCTCAAGTGCTGTTCAAGGTTACAATGAACCTGCTACTACATATATAGGGCTTAACATAAAGTAATAATTACAAACATTCCCTACACATGTAGCACTAATTAAAATACAATTGCCTTATATGGTCCGAACCGGATGTGTTCTGCCACCTCCAATATGGCTCCACATCCGGTTTGGAAACATACACTATAGGTGCAATACATAATAAAACAATTCACAAAATACCACATAATGAATAAAATATAACAAAATTCATCCTCCAGTATAGTCAACCGACACGATATGGTCAAAACGTGGGTGACCTGATGTTTGAGGATACTATAAATTATATCCGATAAGTCCGCATATTGATAAAAGCAGTCCTGGTGAGGATATGGACAGACTGCCCACTTTAAAGATGGCTATCTTAGCCCTACAGTACATTAATATCACTCCTAGTACGGAAACTGAGAATGGACATTGCCGATCCTCTTCTTAGCGAAACCGGAAGTGACGCGACGGACTGCTTTCATCAATATGCGCGTCACCAGAAGTGACGCGACTGACTTATCGGATATAATTTATAGTATCCTCAAACATCAGGTCACCCACGTTTTGACCATATCGTGTCGGTTGACTATACTGGAGGATGAATTTTGTTATATTTTATTCATTATGTGGTATTTTGTGAATTGTTTTATTATGTATTGCACTTATAGTGTATGTTTCCAAACCGGATGTGGAGCCATATTGGAGGTGGCAGAACACATCCGGTTCGGACCATATAAGGCAATTGTATTTTAATTAGTGCTACATGTGTAGGGAATGTTTGTAATTATTACTTTATGTTAAGCCCTATATATGTAGTAGCAGGTTCATTGTAACCTTGAACAGCACTTGAGGAAGACCACTTGATGGTTGAAACGCGTTGTGCATTATTTTTTATTTGTTTTTATACAAATAAATACTTTTTATATATCCTGATACTCCTGGCTCCTGACTCCAACTTTTCATCAGATGATTATTGAGATCATTGAAGGATCCGCCTGAAGAGTGAAGGAATGTGCATGTCCCACTTAAAGTGACATATAAAGCTATACAAGTCCCGAGCCTACTTTAAACGGCTCAGCAAAGTGTGAGTGATTTCAGCTCATAATTTCCTTCTTATTGTGTTTTATATACAGACCACACTATGTTTTGTTCTGTGTTTGTATTTTTTGTATAGGCAATATCTACATTGTATATACATGTTGTATATAAGGAGGAGTTACCCCTTACCAGTTATTTATAACACGTCAGGTAAAGACCTCCTTGTTTAGTGTGCGCTTTAACCTTTCTCTACGTTTTACTGTATTCTCTCTAAGTATATATAGTGGTGATATACTTGGGTATAGCAGAGCCTTTCATTCACTTTATCCTCTAGCGCCATTTTCTATATATTTTTGCAATCCCAGTAGGGAGTTTAGAATATGTGTGCTCCTGGCACAAGCAGCTATTTTTGTTTTCCAATTCACATCAGGAAGATTAAAATCACCCATGATGATAACTGTCCTTGTTTTGGGGGGCAATTGGATTAATGTTTTATCACCCTTTTGCCCCCTTCCTAGTTTAAATACATCCTAGCAAAACCTCTGAACTGCTCACTGAGAACATTTGTTCCCTTTTGAGAAAGATGCAAACCATCTTTTTTGTACAGTTTATTTCCATTCCAAACAGCGCTACCATGAGAAATAAAGCCAAATCCTTGCTCCTGACACCATTCACCAAGCCACAAGTTAAAGTCCCTAATACGCATCTGCCTGTCGTTTTGAGTGTTATGCACAGGCAGAACTTCATAGAATGATAGTGTGGAAGCAACCTGCCGTATATCATTGGCAAAAACACTAAAAACTTCCTTAACCTCTGAAACCTCATTGCAAGCCAAGTAATTTGTCCCTAGATGGACAAGTACATCCAATTCCCCTTCCTGTTTTGCTTGCTTAACAATATTACAAATACGTCTCCTGTCTCTGTGAGCAATAGCTCCGGGAAGACACCTCACAAGACCACCATTGTCCATCTCCACACCTCTTATTATGGAATCCCCCAACAACAACTGCTTTCTATCAGGCCTCATTATAGTCTCTAAGCCTGTGTACACAACACCACTACCTTCAGTGCCTGAGACCATCTCTACAACACCACTACCTTCAGTGCCTGAGCCTGTCTCCACAACACCACTACCCTCAATGACTGAACCTGTCTCCACAACACCACTACCCTCAGTGCCTGTCTCCATAACACCACTACACCTGGTGCCTGAGAATGTCTCCATAACACCATTACACTCTGAAAGTGCAGAAAATGAATTATGTAGAGCAACAGACTGTGCAATATGCCTCTTGTAATGGCACCCCAGGCATAAAAGTGGTTAAAAGACGTTTAGGAGATATTCCCTTCCAGATTCACAGGCAGCTACCAAAGACACCAATCCGCTGAACAGGAAACCATATGAATGTGGTAAACAGCCGAACCGGAACCATATGAATGCTCCAAACAGTTGAATAGGAAAAACCATACGAAAGGTTCACACTCCTAGCAGTCGAACTGGAACAGCATACAATAAATCCCCCCAAGAACGACACAAGGCTCCGTGTTGAGAGTCAAAACAGGAACAGACAGAGCTGTGTTTTTATTGTTCTTATATACACATTCTTACACATTAGTACCACCCACAGGGTTTTGTGGAACATCCAATCAAACACGTAATATACAATGAACACTCCCATTCATTCCAGCAAAATCCTCCCCTCTGCCTGTGATATAATTACTGAACACAATGGGCCAACGTAATTATCACAGGCAGGAAAATACAGTTTTACACAATATTCATAACTTTAAAAGTATACATCACATCCACTTACATTTTCACAATCAGCATACTCAAATACAAACATACTCAAAAATCAGGCAATTCCTTCCATTGGTTTAAAAGTTAGGTCGAAGTTCTTTGTGACCAACTGAAGCATGGCTTTTCTGTCCAAAACCAGTTCCACAGAGTCCTCTATCCTGGAGATAATTGGCTTAACTGGGTGTGGCAAGCCAACCATCTCCAGGCACAGAAAACATCTCCATTCACAACAACAGCAAAAACACATAAAAACACATAATTCCTATCACACTGAACAGAACCACCACATTCAACCTATCCCCAGAT